TCGTCGTGTGCACTGGTTAGGGGGGCAGAGAATTCTCTGGGCATATTTCCCACAGAGGCCTCTATGGGATATTCTTGGTCCCCCTCTCGCCTGCCCCAGAATCTCAGTTTTGGGTTTGTCTCTCTCAGTCATTTTGAAACCTTATGTTCACACTTGATAGCCTTAATGGAGGGAGAGAGGAGAAACCATTCATCGCTAATTTGATAAATATCTATCAAGAACCTACAACATGTCAGGAACATTCTAGAAACTGGGGTTACAGAATCTCTGCCCTCATGGAGTTTTTATTCTCATGAAGGGAGACACATACTAAGCAAATAAATACATAATGTGAGATGGTAATAATATCCAATATATAGGCAGAGAAGGAGGGACAGGAGAGCAGGAAATGGGTGATCAGGGAAGGCATCCCTTTGAAGATGAAATTAGAACAAAGACCTGAAGGATATAAGGGAACAGCCATGCTGATCGTTGAGGGAAGACTGTTCCAGAAACTGGAACAGCAAGTACAGATGTCTTGAGGAGGAATGTATCTGGTGTGATAGAGGAAGGCCAGAAACCCAGTGTATCCAGGGCAGAAAGAAAAAAAGGGACAGTAACAGGAGATTACATCAAAAGGGAACAGACACTGCAAGGTCCCTGTCGGCACCTGGGAATCTCCACAATTTTTTTTCTTTGTAGTCACCTTATGTGTCTCCTCTGTGTGCTGTCATTTCCTGCTTCTCTTACCTTTACTCAGCAGACATTGTCCTTTCTCTTTCTCAGGAATATTTGTCCTTTTTACTGCCCAGAATCCCACGCCTCCTCTTCTAAAGCAGCAAGGTGATTTTTTTTTGGAAAGAGCATCTCTCCCATTGCTTCTGTCAATCAAAGTGCTCCCCACGGCTGTCTCAGCTCAACCAATCACACTGTCTTTCCCTGGAATTAGTCTTCACCAAGATGAAATTGAGGCTTAACCAACTTGATTAGGGTTCCCCAAAGTGACTGTCCAGTAGCTTCTGGTCCCTGGTTCCCCAAAGCTGCCCTGGTGTCTGTCCTTTCTGGAACTTGACTATCTAGCTCTTCTTTCAATTCCATAATCTAACCAAGACTTTCCAGTAAATTTATTTTTAACTTAACAAAGCACCCCTAACTTATCATCAACCACCCTGGCTCTTCTTCCTGTCATGACTCATATCATATGGTCCCCATTAATGCTAAGTTGTGGACTTGTGGGAACTTGTCCTTTCATAGCTAAAATAATTTGTCATTATAACACTAAATTCTCAGTCTGAAGAAAATGTTAGCATTTTCCAACTGATTTATCAGGATAGTTGTTTTTTTAAGCAAAACCATTGTTTGCTATGATTTGACACATTAAGAAGAAAAAGTTACCACCACTACAATAAAAAAAAATAAATTCTTAAAGAGAAGGAAGGGATTAGAACATCACAATGAAACACACAAACTCTGGAATCACACAGCTTGAGTCTGCGGCTCAGCTCTGCCATCTGCAGCTATTCAATCTTAGGTTTGGTTCCCCTAGAAGCAAACCCTGAGACAGGGACTCTAGTGCAAATATATGTCTCGGAAGTGACCCCAGGAAACACCAGTAGGGGAAGAGAGAGGGAAGGGGAGGCAGCCAATAGAAGGTTCTTTATCAATACAGGTAACTATGGGCCACCGGGTACAATCCTACGATGAGTCTCTGAGAGCCAGCATAGAAAATGCCCCTCAGTTCTCTCCCACCCAAGGAGCCGGGGAGCTGGGGTATTTAGACACCAACTCCATCAGTCATTGGTTAAAGGGTGCTGGGGGGCGGAGGTTTGTTGGGATCAGAATGGACATATTCCCCAGCACTTCTGGCCTCCTCCAGCGGCCAGGGAAACAGATGCAGACCCTGGCAGTGGAGAGCCAGCCAGTGCCCACTGAAATGGTGACACGGGAGGGAGTACTGACCGCTCCACTACACTACTTAGCTCTGTAAGCATCAGGTTCCCCATGTGTAAAAGAGCATACTAATAATAGCATCTCACAGGGTGGGTGTGAAGATTCAATGAGATGATGTGTGTGTAATTGCGTGGCACATGAGCACACAGAGAGTTTGTACATGTTGAACATCATGAAGGAGACAAAGAGGGAAACACATGGAAAGCCCAGGAGGAATGAGTAGGCAGAAATGGGAGGTGGTGAACGGGAAAACAAAAGAAAAACTTTTACGAGTTAAGACATACAGAACAGACTTTGTGAAAGAAGCAATCTTCTCAGCACATTCCAACAGCAAACAGGCTTTTCTGCAAAGAACTTTCAAGAGATTTGCTTCTTGAGAGTCAGGAAGAAAGTTTGAACAGCAAAACCCGCCATTCCCTGAAGGTTGGTAAATACAGCAGCTGGAAAGAGGAAAAAAGGGAAAGGATCTGTTTTTCTGAAACTATGCTTCTACCTTACTCTCTTTATCCATGAGGACGGTAATTAGTTCTTTCAATATGACAAGCACACAAGTTTCTGCCTTTTTTAAGAAGGAAAGAAAATTAGTTTATAAAGGCATTTCTTTCTTCCCAGCAAGTCCTGTAGCTCCACGTCCATAGGTGAGGGGAGGGTTGGGTAGGGGGAGAAGAGAAACAGTAGACAATTCCCCATTTGTGCCTCGGGAGGTACAAAGTGCTGGAGAGAAAACAAAGGGCCTTCAGCTGTGTGGAGGTGGGTTTGTTATTTTCTTTGGGTGTGGGAGAGAAGGCTAAGGAGACTTTTGAGTTGAGACCTGAAGGAAATCAATCAGCCATGCAAATGCCTGGAGAAGAGTATTAAATGGCAAGTACAAAGGCCCTGAGGCAGGAAAGTGCCTAGTGTGTTTGAAGCACACAAAGGAAGCCTCTGTGGCTGGAATGGATAGAACCTGGACACAGCTGAAGATGCCTTCCCAGAGGCTGAGGTGGGCCTGAGGGAAGGAAAGGGCAGGGAGGGAAGTGGGGGAGGGGAGGGAAGTGGGGGAGGGGAGGACAGTGAGCAAGACGAGTGACATGATCACACTCACATTTTAGCAGGATCCCCCTGGCTGCTGATTTGAGAACAGGCTGTCCAGAAGCAAGGGTGGACACAGGAAGCCCAGGGAGGGAGGTGTCCTGGTCTGAAAGCAGGTTGGAAAAGAATTTCCAGGCACAAGGCAGAATGTAAAGAAGATGGAATTTATTAGAGGGAAGGGTCACTGCTAGAACAGCGGTCCGACTTCCTAGTAGTCTGGGAGAGTCCAGCCTGAACATGTGCTATTGATCAGTTTTTATAGCCAGAAAACAAAGAAATGGTCCGAGGTGAAAATTTCGTTTACTGATTGGTCGAGGCACATATACCTTCCTTCTATAGGGTGGGAGTGGGACAGGCCAGATGCCTTTCCTTATTTGGGACAGGTCCCGTTGCCCAGGTGGGCATCGCCCAGGTGGGCTCAGGAATTTCGTAACCATCGCAACATGGCGGGGAAGGCGAGTAAGAGTCCGGTGGGGGGTGTAACACTGACACTTTTTCAGGTGGGGTCATCCTTTGTCCTTGGTTGTAATAATCCAGGTAGTGATGATGTGGCTTGGACCAGGGTGGTCACGGTGGTGGTAAGAGCTATTCATATTCTGGATCTACTGTGAACAGAGGGTCAACAGAATTTGCAGATGAATTGGATGTGGGGTATGAGAGAGTAGAGAGGAATCATGGAAGTCTCAGCTTATTCAGTAAAACAACCTGTACTACGTGCCAGACACTGTCCTGGATGCTGCAAATGCAACAAAAAAATTTTCTGCCTTCATGAAGGGTTTTCTCTAGTGGGGGAAACTGACCATAAAAAATACAAATATTCAGTATGTTAGGTATGCTGTATGCTGGTGAAGTGCTAACAAAACCAAAACAAGGATACGGAATGTCAGGAGTAGGGATTGCAATTATAAAAGAGGGTTTCAGGAAGTCCTTGCTGAGAAGATAAGATCACAATAAAGACCTGAAAGAGTGAACCGTGTGGTTATCCTGGGGAACAGCAGAGGGAACAAGTGCAAAGGCCCTGAGGGTTTAAGCACACTGATTTTGTGATGCCAATTAGACACCAAAGTGGAGCTGTCAAGTAGGTAGCTGGATGCCTATTATGGAGAAGACTTTCTCAGTGGTTCTCTTGGCTTTGGGCTCACCCTCTTCCAGGTAAGGTGACCAACTGTCCTGGTTTCCCTGGGACTGAAGGGTTTTCTAGGACACAGAACTTTCAGTGCTAAAAGCAGGACAGTCCTGGGTACAAACACCCTAATTTTCTCACCCTAATTCCAGGTCATCCTGCATCTTTCTGTCAGAGGGATGCTTCTAAAATATAATCCTAAAAAGTAGATCCTAAAAATCCTTCAGTTTTTCCTTCTGGCATGAAGGATCAAAGTTAAAGTTCTGTAGAACTCAGCACAAAAGTCCCTCCCACCCTGGTCTCAGCGTCTCTTCTGCCCCTCCTGCACCAGCAACCCATTATCTACCAGCTGCCCTCACAGCCAACACATCTTTCTCAACAACCATCCAGCACTATGGCATCATTGCTTCCTGAATAAGTTGAGATATTTTAAATCGCCCACCAATGGCTTTCATACATCTCTTCTCTTTGCCCATCCCATCCCCGTCTCCACTTCTCTGTGTCGCTAAAATACGTCTCTTGCTTAAGTCTCATTTCAAGGGCTACCTCCTGGAAGCCTTGCGGGTTGATATAGATATTGTATCTGCACGTCCATGGGGCTCACTGTATCCTGCTAAGGGCTGAATCCAGGTGTGGTGGGTCCCAAATCTTATATAATTTGAGGATACTCTTTAAGAAAAATAATACAAAATTTCAAATACAGATTTAGGTATAAGAGTGAATATTTACTTATAAGGGACACATACAAATGAGGAGTCCTGAGGCATTGCAGTAAATTGCCCTCTGATCCCACTCTTTCCACCCCGTGTGGAAATTGGAGGTTCCCTTGTCTATCTCCCTCCCTAGACTGTGAGACCCCTGGGGGCAGATAACTTACCTGCTATGTCTTTGCATCCCAAGTGCCTGGTATGTGAAAGCAGCTCAATGGATGTTTGTTGACTGCCAAAATGAATGGTCAGGCTGGTGGTGACAAAGAACACTGGTCTGTGAGTCAGATCCTGGTTTTAGTGACACCTGCCAATGACCAGTTGTATCACCTGAAGATAAGGAACAAGGAACTTAACCTCCCAGATATTAAAAGCCATTAGGTGACCTACCTGTGTGAAATGGCTAGGTAGACTGGCCTGGTCAGAAGAGGCGCTTAATAAATACTTGTTTCTCCTCTTTTCCTACCCTTGGGTTCTGTTTCCCTTCCATCAGTCCCAGGCCCCCAGGGCTGGGATACAAGCCAGGAAATGGGACCCACTCTCTGTGAGTACATGAACTTGTTTAGCTCCGCTGTCTTACCTTTCAGAACGACAATCAGTGTTGCAGCTGAAATATTTTCCCTGCTGCTCATGAGTTAAGATTATTTAATTGATCCTTTAACCCTCCTATTTGTCTGCAGGTCAGCAGGAACATCCATAATGTGCCGCTGTGCACTTGAGCTCAGTCCAGGGTCTGTAAACAAGGATGGGAGAGTGCTGTTTCTGCTATTTAAGCCAATCAATGTTATTGTTTTAAAGGAACCAATTTCCTTCCTTGTAAACCCAGGTATATAATAAATAAATAATTCAGCATCCCTGAAATATTTATTATAGGCAGGTAGCATTCTGCTCTCTGAGCAAAGCAACTTGTCTAAGAACTGGATGCTGTTGGGTACCAGCGGCTCCAGTGATCATAGACCCTGTCTGTTGCTTCCCATCATTTGTCTACTGCTCAAAGCAACCTTGGGAGTTAGGAAGAGTGTCTCCATTTTAAAGATGAAGAAACACAAGAGTTATTAAATAAGTGTACAGAGCCAGTAAGTCCAGGAGACAGTATGTAACTGGTCTCTTTCGGGCACACCTCTACTCTCTGTGCGGGGCAAGAATTACATTCCACTTTATAAATGTCAGCTCTTATAAAGGACAACAATCCCCGGGATTTCTTTCCAGATGAGCCATTCTGCTTCTCTGTACTGCCTGGATAGAACCAAGAATTTACTATACCGTGCATCACATCTCATTCCCTGTCGCCGGGTCAGTAGCCGGCACCCCAAACCAGTCTGTGGTCTCTAAGGCTGAGTCGTGTGTTTCGACTAATGAAGATCTTCAGATGACAGCCCTGTGCATTTCTTTTCAAAATCTCTGCTTTTGAGATGACCTAGCCCACCTTGGTGTTTGCTAAATGTTACTCAGGTGGCTGGTACAGTCAGTCACTGCTTTTTCTTGGATGGAAATCACCTGTTGTTGATGATGGTGATGGTTAAAGCTATGATTAACCCAGTACTTACTACATGCCAATGACTGTGCTGACAACTTTGCAAAATGTCATTTAATTCTTAGAAGAACCCTTTGAGGTGGATGTTAATGTCTTCATTTTTTTTTTTTTTTTTTTTTTTGCAGTACGCGGGCCTCTGACTGCTGTGGCCTCTCCCATTGCGGAGCACAGGCTCCGGACACGCAGGCTCAGCGGCCATGGCTCACGGGCCCAGCCGCTCTGCGGCATGTGGGATCCTCCCGGACCAGGGCACGAACTCGTGTCCCCTTCATCAGCAGGCGGGCTCTCAACCACTGCGCCACCAGGGAAGCCCCAATGTCTTCATTTTTTAACTGAGATGCCTGAGGCCTAAGTAGTTGCAGAAAATAACGAGTTCTAAACCACACAGGTAAGAAGTAACCAACACAACCAGGATTCAAACTGGGGTCTCACCAATCATACAATGGATGCACTGAGCCACTATGACACCTCCAGTGGGAGAAGAGTCGGTATTCGCCATTAACTAACGTAAGCCCTAGTCATATTTAGGAGATATCTTTATTTCTAGGCAAAGGGTATCCATTCACCTACCCACCCATCCACTCATCCATCCATCCATCCATCCCTCCATACATTTCCTCACACAGACTATTCCCTTTGACTGGAATGTTGCTCTGATCTCCCCGTAACTGTGGAGCTAACCCCCTTCTCAACCCTTAAGTCTCATTTTTAAGTTCCACCTCCTCCTGGAAGTTTTCCTAGCCTGACATTGTGTCCCATCTCTGTGCCCTCATGGAGCTCTATTTATTCTACTCAGGGGTGGATCCCGATTTTGCGGGGCCTGAACTACAAGGTACAGTCAAGGAGAATGACTTCCAGGGTAGAAACTCAAATTAAACAGGGCAACTAGACCTTAACTTCATTTCCTCTTTGAGTTTGGGGTTTTCTGGATACTCAGTGTAGCATAATCATAGCCCTTTAAAACTTAATGTTTAATCCAAGTGTTGGTGTTTTATTTTTCTACAGTATCGAACCATTTCAGCTCTAAATAGACCAAGGTTCAAAGGATTTAACACTATAATTGTTCTGATTCAGCTTTAAGTTGCAGAGCCTTAGATTCAGCATCCCCACAGTTGTAGCCAATAGAAAAGTGAGAGCAAACAGTGTTGACCTAACCTGAGGCCCTAAATGCCAACACCTGTCATGATCATTTCAGTGGTTAGCTTAATTTGCAACGTGTGTTTATCAGATCTATTTCTGCTTATACAGACCTTGTTAAAATCAGATCACAATAAATATTATATTGTGTTAATAACCCATACTGAAACTTAGAGATGTTTGCTTCTTACATACAATTAACAGGAACTCAGCGAATTAGTTACTATCCATATTTTACCTGTATGGAAACTGAATCTGAGAGGTGTGATCTCCTTGAGGTCACACAAGCTAGTAATAAGTAGAGCAAACCGAGTTATGCTTACAATGAAAATGTTCTTTGTCCATACTGACTCTCCCAAGAACCAAATCATAAAACTAGACTTCATGGCTTCAGCAATCCTATTAAAGATTTACACTCCTGCATGCAAAGTAGTCTCACTAGAGAATGATAGATTGACATGGGCGATCCAAAGTAGTCAATATTTCTGCAAGTGGTAATTCCAAAGAGCCTATATTGGAGCTATCGAAGTATTACTCCCTTTCATTTACTTTGCTTTATTGTAATTATGGAATTCCCCCTCTGCTGCGACTGGTGAGTAGACGATGCCCTGAAATCTTATGTCGATCTAGATGGGATCATCTCTTTTGGTAATACTTCAGCTCAAACCTTCTCCCGAGAATGTTTGCTTATAATTCCCTAGACATTTCCAGAGCTAACGTGAGACTCTTGGTCCTCAGAGGAATTTAAAGCAAAGCTATAAGTTGGTCATCAGAAGTCCCTTTGTGAGTTCCTGATGCTGTCTGGGGCACCAGGGCACAGGATCAGGCTTCCTCCTAATTCTGCTTCTCTGCTAATCAAGTGAAACAACCCCATGTCATACTCGTTTCTACTCTTCTGTGGCACAAGCTGTTTATCATCAGAATAAGCAGACTTGAAATTATAGGTGGAGCCCATGGTCCCCTCTCTCCCTTCCACCCTAGGCCACACTTCTTGGGAGTTAAAGGGTAATAATGGGATTACATTTACAGTAACAAATCATATTTTTCTACATCTCTCCCACTCCCCTGTCCCACCTTGTTTCCCCCAATTAGTTCTGGAAAGCCTGGGGCGTGGCCTCATGGACTCACCAGTACAGGATCCTGGGCATCTTTCTACCAGCCACCATTTCAGCCCCATTGTTGAAGTCTCTGCTCAGGTCGAACTAGTGTGGTACTCCCTCTGGTGCCCAGTAGAGGGCCCTGTTTCCCACCACACCACTGCCTGCCTTTGCTCCTGAGGCACTGGGGTCCAGGAGAGCTGTCTGCAGGCCCCTCCCTGTGGCGACCACAGCTGCCGCCATCCTTCACACTCTCTGCACTGGCCCTTCAAGTCTCACCATGATGCCGCGACTGCTTTGCTAGAAGGAGGAAGCGCTCTTTCTGTGCCTTTTGGACCCTCCCCAGGGCAGGGCCCAAAGCAGGGCCAACTTGTGTTGCAGACACTCAGAGACGTATGAGAGCAGCTCTTGGGTTTCTACGGTGGCTTCTCCTCTCACTGGGAGGTGGCCTGCCCTGTACTCAAACCACTCCTGCCTCAGGCCGCAGGGACATTGTTCTTGGGCTGAATTTGGGTGCCTGCACCTCTGTCCTTAGCATCAGTTCTTCCCCAGGAGGATCTAATGGCCCTTCAAGCAAAGAGGATCCTGCTGGGGCTTCCCTGGTGGCGCAGTGGTTGAGAGTCCGCCTGCCGATGCAGGGGACACGGGTTCGTGCCCCGGTCCGAGAGGATCCCACATGCCGCGGAGAAACTAAGCCACTGAGCCATGGCCGCTGAGCCTGCGCGTCCGGAGCCTGTGCTCCGCAGCCGGAGAGGTCTCAACAGTGAGAGGCCCGCGTACCGCAAAAAAAAAACCAGGATCCTGCTGGGTCCACCCACCAGTCTTTTCCCGGTACAGGTGAATCCAAGTAGCAAAAAGAGATGTGCTCAAAACACCTGCTTCCAGCCCTGGGGTTACCAGCACTCAACTCCAAAACATACAAGAACTTGTTGGGGTACTGAGTTGGTTGAATTCCACAAAGCCAAGTCCAGCAGATTCTTCCCACTTGACACTGAAATTTTCAGGTATGAGAGGTCACTGCTGCACCCTTATCCCCACTCTAAGCACACCATGGACTGGGTGGAAAGTCCACGCCAGCCACAAACTCATGCCAGGGACAGCAGTTCTGTGTCACCTCCACTGATCTTGCAGGCCTGAAATCAGCCAGGACATCTGTTAGCTCCTGCTTGAGGTGCCCCCTCTTAGCAGTTGCTAAGGTACTTTAGAGCAGGAATGCAGAAAAATGCAGCAATTGTGAGAATCTTTGCAATTCTGGAATCCCTGCAATACGCCTGCGTTGTGATGGTACTTACATAAACCTCATGATTTCTTCTCTGGGAATTTTGCTTTTCTGAAAGACTGTTTGCAACTGGCCCCTTTGACAGCAACAAATACTGTGGGCTCTGATAGGACAAACTTCCTCCTGGAAACAGTTGCAGAAATAGGATAAATGAGGCCAAAACAAATACACATGGTAGCCCCCCAAAACATACCAACTCCAATGTTCGTATCTCCCTGACCCTCGAGTTTCAACTCCAGCTCATACGGGGAGTGCCTGCTGACAAAAATGTCAGTGCAGTTGCTATCTGTTAGCCTCACCCTTGGCTCCTCTCTCACCTGGAAAAATAATAACCTGACAAACACGGAATACCCTCAACACATATTCAATGCTCTATTCATGTTGTCGCGCTTATAGGACAAATGGGGAGAATATAACCACGATGTTGACAGTGAGCGATGATTACTACCTGAGCAAGCACTGTTCTTAGCACAGTCTGGTTTAGTCTGGGTAGAGTGAGGGAAAATTCAAGGGCGCAGAGCAAACGGCAGAAGCCTCGAGGGGTGCCCTAGACTCTTGTACACAGTTCTAGCGACCATCGATTTCCTAATATGAGCCAGGTGCTATGAAGTGCTTACCCAGGTCCCCTCTTAATCTGCACAGCAGGTACCCTGCAGTGTGAATTATCATCCCTACTTATAGCCCAGGAAACTGGGGCTCTTTGGTGACTGGCCATGGCTTTGCCAATGGCAAAGAAAAAGATCCTTGAGATTCTGACCGAGTCCTTAAATCATGACTGCATTACTCAAAACTCAGCTGCAAGAGACAGAAACTCAACTCAAACTAGCTTACGGGGGTGCTGGGGGGAGGAATTTATAGATGATCCAACTTCAGGCATGGCTAGATCCAGGGACTAACATATGTCACATGGACTAACTCCGTCTCTTTTTATTGATCTTTTCTATTTCCACTTGCCACTGCTTCATTTTGTTTATGTGAACTTTCTTCTCCTGCAGAGTTTCCTCCATAAAACCAGGAAGATGACCATAAATGGTTCCAGCCAACATTACCATTTATCTCACAATTCCAGAGGAAGAGAGAGACTTCTCTTTCAGAATCCATGTGTAATCTCTCAAAGAAGAGGCTGGCTCTGTTCAGGTCACGTCCTGCTTATCCTTAAACCAATCACCATGGTGGAGAGGTTAAGTCCCATGATTGACAGCCAACCAAGCCCACATGGAGAGGGAAGTTTGGTGGCCCATTGAAAGGAAGGTTGCTGTACAGACAACCCATGTGTTAATAGAACTACTAGGGACTTTAGTTAGATGTAATCCCTTATGAACTTGGATCTGCTGGTTTTCATGGTGTAATTTCCTTTTGTTTTACATGCTCTCCATTATCTGTGGTATACTCATGGAAATGGGATCAGAATGACAAAGGAGGAAGCCCCAAGGTTTGCGTATGTGTTTTAAAATTAAAGAGCCAGTGATTACCGGTTTTCTTTCTAGAACAAAAAGTATGTTGTTAAAATAGAGTTGCTGAAATCTTTTAAAAACTGTTTTAAGAGAATGCAACATCACCTTGTGGTGTTCTTGCCAAAAATGTTTAACCCAAATTTAATCATGAAGGAAGAATCAGACAAGTGCAAAAAACTGGCTTGGACCCTCCAAAAAAGTCAATTTCATAAAAGACCACACACACACACACACACACACACACACACTCTAAAAGGCTGAGGAACCACACCAGGTTAAGGTGACTCAAGAGTCATGACAATTAAATAATTAAAAACAGTGTGAGATCTTTGATTAGATCCTGGATTAAAAAAAAAAAATTATAAGTGGCATTATTAAGACAATTTAGAAAGTTCAGTACTAAGATCTATATATTAGGTAATGATATCGTTTTCAACGCTGCATTTTCTGAGTGTGACTGTGGTTATGTAGAAGAATGTCCTCGGTCTTGGGAGAACATGCTGAAGTATTTAGGGATAAAGAGTCAGGATGATGCAGCTAATTTTCAAATGGTTCAGGGGGAAAAAATGTACACATAGACAGGGAGAGATAGAGGTGAGAGAGATGATATAGTGCGAGAGGGTGAACATGTGGCCAAATGTTAAGAACTGGTGAATCTAGGTGAAAGGTATATGGGTGTCATTAAATATATTCTATTCTTATACTTTTTCTCTAGGTTTCAAATTTTTCCAAATCAAATTGTTGAGAAGGGGAAAAAGAATTTAGGTACAGCCTCATAACAATCTAAAATCTAACTCCCTCACCCATAATACAGTAAGTGAAGCCCGAAAAGCTCACCGTGTAAATGCGGGGTCATTATTGCCAGGTTAGTTAAATGACAGGCCAGTTTTAACAGCCAGAGCTGCAAGAGCCATATCTGTTCACGTCCAGGCCGCTGAGGTTGGCGCCACCTGGTGGCAGTTGTCTGCTTCAGCTTAAATAAGGATGGGGACTGTTCTGGGTCCTCTATCAGTGGTGATTCCAGGAATCACTAGGAAGTAGCACCCATTTCCTTGACCCGATTCGGGAGAGTGGCCAGGAGTATTCTGGAAACAAGGAGACCATTTCGTGGGCAGGGGTCGAGGTGAAGGCAGTCTGGGTCCAGTCTATGTGGGAAGCGCTGGCGTCCAGAGGCTGCCTGGCTGTGACAGTGAACAGCAGGCTTAGCTGCTCTCTGCCTGCAACAAAGTCCCTGGTTATGGGAACCTAATGTCCATCCATGCAGTAGGGAAGTAGCTGGAAGAGTTTGACACAGCTCCGGGCTCAGAAGGGGGCATCATTTAGCCAGTGACAGCTAGGTCATATACAATGTCACACCAGCAATTTCTAAAAATCAACAAACAATTTAGAAATTATTTGATGCATCGTTTTCACTACAACTTACATTGTTTAAAGCAGTTTTATTAGAGAACAAAAGGGAATGTATTTTAAAATTTTTATTTATATGCAAATTTAGGTGACTGTTGTTTTAAACTATTTTTAATATCACCTGTGTGCACATGTATGTTTTGAATAACCTATATACATACATACACATGGGTATATATAAAAAAATAAACACACACATATATACATACATAGACACCCAGGAAGTATTCTAGCTTGTTTTCTGAATGGAAAATCGGTTACATAGTAATACATGTGCCCTTTCCCCACTGCTTCATTCTTTTTTTTTTTTTAATGCTGTTAATCTGAATAGCATACATGGTGTAGTTTATTTAATAACTCATAAAATCTTAACCAGAAAACCATGAATCTTAGAAAAATTTGCTAAGATTTATATATCTTGCCTATTTTTAGAAAAGACTTGATGTGGTTTATTATGCTAAATCATATATAAAACAAGACAATGAAAAATATTTAGAAGACTGAAAAACCATCCAAAGAAGAGAAGAGCATGGGGTAAGCTAAATCATCCAAGTTTAGCTTTGGATTTCTTGGGGAACAAAAAGGAAACAAGATGGGCTGTTGCTTCTGGCTCTGCACCAGGGTCTAGTCTGGCTGGAAGGACCCCCAGGTGAGAAGGACAAATGGAGACAAGGAGTCGCTCAGTGGTAGCAGCTAGCGACACCAAAACTAGAGGAGTAGCATTGTGAGGGCATGGTGAGAGGCCACACTCTCAAAGCCACCGGAGCGCTGTGAACGGGCTGCCCAAGCCAAGAGGCCCAGAGCAAGGATTGCAACACCGACGAGACTAGGAAAGAGCATTCCTGAAGAACAGCTGGGATTGTTCCATAACAACGGGAGGGAAAGCAGCATTTCTAAGACCAGGGATGCAGAGGGCATAGATATATCTCTTCACCCCATAAGAGAAACCTATGTTCATCTCTCATATAAAGGGCGTTTGAGTCACATGGCGACTCTGGATTTTCTATAAATGGCACAGAAATGTTCTTCCATGAATGCTTCTCCTAATACTCCTCTACAAAAGATAGGACCCATGGTTTTGAAAAGGCTGGATAAGAGCTAAATGCATTTTGTGAAAATTAATAGCATTTCTGCAAACCACTGAGAAGTTATTAAGAAATATAATGAGAAAGAGATTCCAGTTGCAGTCGCAAGAAAAAAACATACTAGGGAGTAATTTCTATGAGAAATGTGTATGACCTCTTTAAAGAAAATATAAGATTTTGCTTAAAGAGTGAAAATACTTGATTAATGGAAAGGTATACCATATTGGAAAACTAAATAGTATGTCAATTCTTTGCAGATTCATTCATAGATGAATTCCAACAGAATCATTTTCGTGGGAAAAAAAGGAAAATATTTTAAAGTTCATGTGAAGCAGTAAACAAAGGTAAATATAGAATAACTTTCAAAAAGCAGTAGTAATGTCATTGGTGGTAAAAAGTCTTACATGGTAGAAGATTCTAAAGCAAAATTTGAAATAGTGTGGTAATCTTTCAACAACAGATCATTGGACTAGAATAAACATAGAAGGTGGAGATCCTATTACATATAAGAATTTAAATGATTTTTCACAAAGCCATCACCAAATAACGTAGAGGAGAGAATAATTCAACAAATGGTACTAAGATACGTAACTATCAATTTGGCAGAAAAATAATTATTTAGATTTCTATCCTACACATGTACCCCAGTAAGTTCCAAAAGGATTAAGTCTTTATATACAAAACTCAGACCATGTTTTTTTAAAGTAAAATTAAATTAAATTAAAATTTATCAAACTTCTGGGGGCAGTGCAACTTTCCAAGCTTGGGAGTGATTGAAGAAATCATGAGTGGGGGAGATTTTACTGCACACAATTTTGAAACTTCTTCACATGAAAAATATAACCAAGGAAAAGACAGGTCAACTGGAAAAACTACCTATACAACAAGGACATAGGCAGCATTTAGTAGTTTTTACCTTTATGTAATAACATTTATGCACATTAGCAAGAAGACCACTATGATTGCTGGGGATAAAAATGAGCAAAGGACAGTAATAGGAGAAATTGTTCAGCCTCAGTAGTATAGTCAAAGAAATAAGAAGGAAAAGAACCGCAAATTAGCATTTTTCATTAAGTGAAACTTTAGGGAAAAAAGGTTACTACCCAGAGTTGGGGAAGGGAGAGAAGCGATGTGGAAGGTGTGCTCTGATCCCTCTGGTGGCGTAGGAAACCGAGAA